ACAGACCCACCTACTGAACCACTGAGAGAGAGGAAGGAGGGGCTGAGCCCTGTGGGGGGCAGGGGGGCTTGGGCAGGCTGGGAGCAGGCCGGGGGTTCGTGGGAGGCACAGGTCCCGGCTGGCAGCATCCTGCCAGCACTCCCATCCCAGCACTTTTTAGGCATTTCAAGTCTTTCAGGTACTCACGAGGATTTCAAATGCTGCCAGGAGGAGCACTGGGGTCAGAACTGCAGACTGAGGGTGTAAGAGGAAGAGGCCACAAAATACTAATGCAAATATTGACTCTGCTGGCAAAGCTTGGCACTGATCCCATGCAATTCCTGCAGTGGAGCTGGAGCTTTAGGAAAAACTACACCCAAAAGAAGCCCAGCCGACACAGAGCCAGGGGGTGGGATGACAGACCCCAACCCTAGGTCCCCCCATGTCCCCTGAACCTGCCCCCAGACCAGCTACAGCTCCTGCAGTCAAACGGGGAGCTGGGCAGGACAAGGAGCACAGAAGGAATGTTTCTAGCAGAGATGAGCTTCTCTCCTTGCCCAAGATCACTTAAGGCTGTTATTTAAAAGAAAATAAAGTGGTGTTCTGGCAACCTGCAAAGTCTGTCTGGTTGAGAAGCAGTTGAGCCTGTCAAGGGTTTTTTGTCTTCAGATGACTTTGCTGGGTTAGCTGACATGGGCTGGATTAAGGAGAAAGTATTAAAAGGGTTTTAATTTCTATTCCCTGGGTTTATTGCATGCAAATACACACTGCCATTTCTTTCTGAGGTTTCCAATTTGCTAATTGAGACATTTCCTCATGGAAAAAGAATGTCCTGGAGTACGGACCAGGCTGCTGGCACTGCTCCACACACACTGGGGGAAGCTTAGGTGAGGCGTGATGTGAAGACGAGACAGGACATCAAGGTCTGGAGGCAAACATCAGCCAGCACCCAGCGTGGGGGCTGCGGGGGCTCCCGCGGCCGGACAGCACATCCCGCAGGCAGCGCTTCCCTTGAGGCGCCTTCCCAGGCACCTTCTCCCCACCACTGCAGGTGGCTCAGCCCCATCCCTGGGTAACTCACCCCAGATTTGGGAGATTTTTGGAGAAGGAACATCTAGGAAGATTTATTTCCCGGCATCAGTTTGCTTTTAAAAAAAAAGAAAAAAGGAGGAACAAACCAATCTGACCTGCTGGCGAGGGAAAAATATTAATCCCTGTATTTTTGCTAGAGTGATAGAAGTATTTCTCCTGCCCTCAAAAAACAGAAGGGCAGACAAATTGATTTTGTTCAAAATGTTAACAAGACAAAGAGCCAAGAAAAGCACTTTTGGGTCAGAACAAGCCCAGAACATTAAGGGAGAAAAGAGCAAGGAAGAAGCAGCTGGAAACACATGAGAAGGGTTATAATGGGAATACAACTGCTGCCACAGTTACAGCCTCACCACCCTGACCTCTAATGGGACCAGCTCGATTTTATTTTGTTTTAATACAGAAAGAAAGGAATTAAAACAGTTCTGCAGACTCATGAGGAATGCACAGGGGACAGAGAGGGATTTCTAACTTTATATAGGTCAAACATCATCCATGCGGGTTCACATAACATCCAGTGCAACCACAGCTACTGCATAAAAATGAAGCTTCAAAGCGCTCCAGAGGGAGCCCTGGGAAGTTTGCTCTCCCCTGCCTGAAGAGCAGCAGAACAGTAATTCAGTTTGGATCAATATGTGCTATGAGGGAAGGGGCTGGAGAGCAATTGCCCATTTCTGCCACTTCAGTTCAAGGGAAATTAGGATGGAAAACAGAGGCTATTGTAGAGAAGAGGCTTCCCACCACAGGAGAATATATATGAAAAGGCCACACTAAGGTCTCCCTGGAGTAATTTCTTCTCCAGGGCAAATCCCAACTCTCTCAGCCTTTCTTTGAGCAGAGGGATTCCAGCCCTTGGACCATCTCACTGATCCACTCCAGCAGGTCTGTATCCTCCTTCTGCTGGGGACCCTCCAGCTGGAAATGGAGCAGAGGGACAAATCCCCTCCCTCACCCTGCTGGCCACGCTGTAGGTGCTGCATCCAGGATCCAGGTCACTTTCTGGGCTGCCAGCACACATTGTTGGCTCACTACCAGCTGTTCACCCACCAGCATCCCCAAGTCCTTCTCCAGAGGGCTGCTCCCAACCCATTCATCATCCATCACCTCTCAGAGCCTCGTCCTCTGCCAACTCACAGCAAGAAGCTTTGGGCAAGCCAGCTCAAGGAGGACATGGGAGCCCTCCCTGGAGCACATCTCAGAGCACAGCAGGTTGTGAGATGTGGTAACGCCTGCAGGGAGGGTTCATGGACAGCAGGAGGGTTCCCAGGCTCTGCAGCCTCTGGAGCAGCTTTCCAAAAGGAAAAGCCCATGGTGTGACCTGTCATGCTCCCGTCCTCCCGGAGGGCTGAACTGGCACAGCCCAAGCACAACAGCTCAGAGAGCCCCCAGGACGCTCTTTGCCACCCCAGCTCTCTCAGAGGACAGGACAAACCCCAGCAGAAAGCAACGCTCCTGGAACAACAGCTACAGGGCACGTTGGTGCCAAGTGATGTTTCCCTGTCCGTTCATTCACGGAGAAGGTCCAGTGCTTGGGCCTGGCACACAGAATCATCATGGTTGGACAGGACCTCTAAGATCACCAAGTCCAAATGTCAACACAAAAAACCCCACAACCTTGACCACTAAAGCATGTCTTGAAGCACCAAATCTACACAGGTTTCAAATACCTCCAGGAATGGTGACTCAACCACCTCCCCGGACAGGCTGTAACAGACAAACCAGCAGGAGAAAAATAAAACTTCAAAGATTTTACTCTAATTGTGCGAGACCCAGCTCAGCCTCCTGGTTCTGGAGGAGCCCACAGGCTCCATCCTGCAGCCCACGTATCTTTCAGGGGTGGTTTGGCTTAAATAAGAGGTGACACTTGGGGCATCCAGAACCAGTCCCTGTGCTGGCAACACCGCCCTTGACCCCTGATCTGGCCCGTGGGCCCAGCGGGCCGGGCACTTACCTTCAGCTTCTCGAAGCGGTCGCTGAGGGATGCCACCTGGTGGTCCCGGTGGCGGCCCACCAGTTTACATAAGGCACAGATGAGCTGATCGTCAGCCACACAGTACATGTTCACCTTCTCGTTCTCGTGCTCCAAGCACGTGAGTCCTCGGAAATGCGCGTCGGGCACCGGCTCCACCAGGCGGTGGCTGGTGAAGGGCTTCTTGTTGGGGTGGGTGGCCCGCAGGCAGCGGTCGCAGTAGGAGACCTCGCAGGTGATGCAGGTCTTCACGGCGTCCCGCGGGGGGTCCTGCTCGCAGAACTGGCAGGCGATCCTCTCGCCGGCCACGGACATGGTGGGGCTGTCGCGGTAGGTCCTGTCGCGGCGGCTCTCGCTGGGGGAGTTGGGGCCGCTCAGGGACGCCTTCTGGAAGCGGTCGATGATGTTCTGCAGGGTCACATTCCGCTTGAGGCCCTCCAGGCCCCGATGGTTGAGGGAGATGACATAGCGGCAGGTGGGGCACTGGAAGGCGGTGATGGGCTCGATGGACTCGCTGGAGGAGCAGCTGGACACCAGGATGCGGGGGGCGCAGCTGGAGCAGAGGGTGGGGG